GTTCCCAATCAAAACAATGCACAAGCTGAGCCAACACAAAGTGTACCACAGTAATCCCTAACTGCATTCCAACGCAACGTCTTCTGCCAGAGCCAAACGGTAGAATCTGAAAGTGGTGTCCTCTAACATCAACATTGCTATCCTCAAACCTCTCTGGTACGAACTTCTCTGCATCTTCCCAAGCACTTGGGTCTCTCCCGATTGCCCACACGTTTACGATAACGCGTGACTTTTTCGGTATGTGGTAGCCATCGACAGTGCAATCTTCGATGGCTGCATGAGGAAGCAACAATGGTAACACAGGATGTAGCCTCATGGTTTCCTTCACTACCATATCCAAATACTCCAATTTCTCCGTGTCTGATTCCTCCACCATTCTATTCAGACCTACAACATTTTTTATCTCCTTTTGGACTTTCTTCATAACCTGTGGATGCCTCATGAGTTCCGAGAGCGCCCACAGGACAGTTGTTGATGATGTGTCCGCTGAGGCCACTAACATGTCCTGCCAATAAATTTTCCATTGCTAGATGAAGTATATATAGTCGGGTGACATATGTACATAGATGACAATTTAATGTACATGATAAATCATAAATTTGTATCGTCAATAATCAATCTTCTATATTCAAACAAATGTTGACCTTATGGTTCAAAAGCACACAATCTGAGACCACGTCATGCTAAATTGTCTAATAAGAAACAATTTCGTTTTAATTTGAAGTAAAGCAAGATTAAAAAGACAAATATGTAAAATGATGATACGTAAACTTACCGACATCATGGCTTTGATATTCAAGCGTTCGATTCGGTAGTCCGATTCTTCGGACCCCATGTAGGCCAGCATGGCATCAGTAAAGTCTTTCGTTCTTTCTGCATCCATGGATTGAAGATGCTCGTCAATAATCTTCTCGTAAAAATCATCAAACACCTTGTTAACAGCCTTCATTTTTTTAGTGAGCCCTTGCAGGTCAAGCGGTGCAATACAAGGAAAGAAATCTCCCCAGTTAGGTGCTCCTGCTAGTTTCAAACCCTCTTTCATCACAGACACGATACCCCTCCCGCCAAACTCCTCGTCCTTGTACTTCTTCCCAAACACCATCCGGCAGGTCATGTCAATCCCGAGCGACATGACCTTGTCAGTGAGATTGGCAATGCGTCGATTATTGGCGTCCTCTTGAACAGATTTTATCAAGAGAGCAACCTCTTCTCTCCTCATGGACTTGAAAGAGTTGATCTTTTGGTTGCTAAGTAATTCGAGCATGCAAAGCTTTCGCATGTTCGTCCAATACGAGCCATACTCAGCAAAGCTCAAGCTTTTTTGCCCAAAGATGAGGTGCTTTGCACCTTCATTAGGTGGTCTATTTGCGAAATTAAGGTCGTGTGTTTTGAGGAACAGCTCGGCCGCTCGTGCGGAAGAGACAACGACAGTATGCTGGAGGCCTAACCTCAAGTACATGATGTCACCGTATTTCTGGGCTAGTTGACGAAGATCCATGGTAGGGAACTTCCCTAACAAATGGAGGCTGCCAAAAATAGGAAACCCTCTCGGACCAGGAGGTAACATCTTGTTCTTGGTTTTTGATATGCATGCTTGCACGATGCGAACAAGGGCAAGCACCCCAATTGTTGCCCAAATCCAAAGTGCCATATTGATATTGCGCTCTTTGGGAGTTCTCAAATGGTTGAGCTAAGCTAGCTGGCAAAGTTTTTTTAAGAGAGGTTTCCAGCTATTTCACTTTGAGTATTATGAATGCTAGCTGATGCTTCGTTTTATAGATCTATAAAACTTGAAAGGTCAAAGCTAGTTTCAAACATAATAATTGTAGATTAGAAAGTCAATTTTTTTGCAGTGGATAATGTTAAGGAGATCAATTTTTTAAATCAAATTTTGTAAATCAAAATTTTAAACCAAATTTTTAAGCTAAATCTTCACGACTCTATGCCACTTTGGAAAGATTTTTTAATGTGTTCAGAACATGAGATAATACACAATGTATCTCTATACAAATGATGAGATTCTTGTGTTAAAAAATTAAATTTCTTACTAAAAATAGGAAACCTCTCGGACCAGGAGGTAACATCTTGTTCTCGTTCTTGCCTTTTGATATGCATGCTTGCACGATGCGAACAAGGGCAAGCACCCCAATTGTTAACCAAATCCAAAGTGCCATATTGATATTGCGCTCTTTGGGAGTTCTCTATTTGTTTCTTTGAGTATTATGAGCTGTAATAGTGGAAAGATCAACCAGCTAGTTTCAAACATATTAATTGTGGATGAGACAATCCTGTAAATTTTCATTTGGAAAGGTCAGCCAGCTTGTCTCAAACATATTAATTGTGGATGAGACAATCTTGTATATTTTTTTAATGAATAATGTTAGGGAAATTAAATTTTTACATTAATTTTGTAAACCAAACGATGTGGTTATTGATGATTAGATTATTAATTAAGTGTCAATTAATGTGTTTATTTTTTATTAGTGACACGTAATTTGGTTTGCAAATTTGGCAAGGTTATAAAGATACTAGAAGCTAGTTGGGCGACAAGCTGGGCCTAGCTGCTAGGTGGGACTTAGGCAGGGGCCAAGACGGCTTTAAGTAAATTTATTATATGTTAAATAAATGCTTATTTATACTTAAAAACACACACATAATTATATTGTGATACATTAATTACAAAATAAAATGACATATAAATTATCAAGTATTAGAATATATTGAAAACATGGAGAACAAATATATAATGATTGTTCATCCAAGTATTCTACAAGTCTCTTACATTTTACTGAAAAAATAAAAAGAAAAATAAATGTTATTGATTTTATGTCTAAGTTAGAGCCGTGACCTAAGCGGGTGCTTGGGCAGGTTTAGGCGGGCTAGGTGGGCGCTTAGGTGGGCTAGGCGTACACGTAAGCAGGTCTAGACGCACTTTCTTAATTTTTCAAATGCCTAGGAACTAATCAGGACAGTGGCTAGCAGCCTAGCGCCTAGACAAGGCCTAGAGGCTCTAGGCATGGATTTTTAGAACAATGAAATTTGGTTTAAAATTTTGATCATTCTAGCATTATCCTTTTGCAATTATCGTATTTTCATGCACAAATTGCATAACTTAAACCGCTAATTTACTAATCGTCAATTTAAAATCATGCTCACGAAAAATCAGTTAAATCAAATATCAATTACTCACTTATATGTAGCTAATAATTACACGATTTATTATAAGATAGATCTTGATATCAAGACAAAAAAATTTCACTGCATATGATTGACTAATGATCATGAATTTATATGTAAAAGTAATTTTAATATGGATCTCCGTAGTGGTTACAATCAGTGGGTCAAGAAATCCTCAAGGAAAAGCATGAACGTATTTTTTTTTAATAAGGTTAATCTTAGTTATGAAGTTTATTGGTTTTTAGCATTTCATACATTAAGTTTTTTCCGTCTCAGTCTGATACCAAAAGTCATAATTTTGGGACACTTTCATACATCTGTTAAATTTTCTGTTATAACCTCTGTTAACTGATGATGTATCGCCCACATTAATAATGACTGAACGGCACGTGTCAATATAGACTACTTGAATATTAAAAAATTTAAAAATGTTTTCCTTCCTCTCCCTTCATCCTCCATCTCTCTCGCCTCTTCCCGTCTCTTCTGAGAGAAAACCCAGCAATCATTAATCTTTCCCGTCTCTTCGCGTATTATGGAAGCTGGCTGTTGCTTGATTTTATGGAGCTTAATATTGGAAAGGTCAACCAGCTAGTTTCAAACATGTTAATTGTGGATGAGCTGTATATTTTTTAATGAATGATGTTAGGGAGATTTAATCTTTACATTAATTTTGTAAACCAAACGATATGGTTATTGATTATTAGATTATTAATTAAATATCGATTAATGTGCTTATTTCTTATTCGTGACACATAATTTGGTTTGCAAATTTGGCAAGGTTCTAAAATATTATAGACGCTAGTTGGGCAACAAGTTGGGGCCTAGCGGCTAGACGGGACTTAGGCAGGGGTCTAGACGGATTTAAGTAAATTTATTATATGTTAAATAAGTGCTTAATTATACTTAAAAAACACACATAATTATATTGAGATACATTAATTGCAAAATAAAATGACATATAAATTATAAAGTATTAGAATATATTGAAAACATGGAGAACAAGCATATGATGAGTGTTCATCCAAGTATTTTACAAGTCTCTTACATTTCATTCAAAAAATAAAAGGCAAAATAAATGCTATTGATTTTATATCTAAGTCAGAATTATGACCTAAGCGGGTGCTTGAGTGGGTTTAGGCGAGCTAGGTGGGCGCTTAGGCGGCCTAGATATACATATAAGCAGGTGTAGGAGCACTTTTTTAAATTTTCAAATGTCTAGGGACTAATCAGGACGGTGACCAACTGCCTAGCACCTAGACAAGACCTAGAGACTCTAGACAGGGATTTTTAGAACAATGAAATTTGATTTAAAATTTTGATCTATCTAGCATTGTCCTTTTGCAATTATCGTATTTTCATGCCCAAATTTCATAACTAAAACAGCTAATTTACTAATTGTCAATTTAAAATCATGCTCACGAAAAATCAGTTAAATCAATTATCAATTACTCACTTATATGTAGCTAATAAATAGACGATTTATTTTAAGATAGTTCTTCATGTCCAGAAAAAAAATTTCACTGCATATGATTGACTAACGATCATGAATTTATATGTAAAAGTAATTTTAATATGGATCTCCGTAGTGGTTATAATCAGTGGGTCAAGAAGAACCTCAAGGAAGAGCATGAACGTCTTGTTATGAGGGTTAATCTCAATTTACTACTCTGAAGTTTATTGGTTTTCAACATTTCATACATCAAGTTTTTTCCATCCCAATCTGATAGTTAAAGTCATAATTTTGAAACACTTTCATACATCTGTTAAATTTTCTGTCAAAACCTATATTAAGTGATGATGTGACTCACATATAGACAATGACTCAAAATCTACGTGTCAATATGGGCTCACTTGAAAATGTTTTCCTTCCTCTCCCTTTCGTCCTCTTATCTCTTTCCCCTCTTCCCTTCTCTTCTGAGATAAATCCCAGCAATCATTAACCTTTCCCCACCGACCTAATCCCGTGAGCCACCGGAAATGGGTTCCCGATCGAAGACCGGGAGAGAAAACTTGTGGGAAAGGAAAGCTTGCTTGTCTTGTTTTCTTTCTTCAAATCGCCAAAACGCAGGAGGGAGAGAAAGCAAAAGAGGAGAGCAGACACACACAGCTCAATCATCGAAAGGTAAAATCATTTCCAATTTTTTGGTAAACAACCAGTTTTCTAGATCTGGGTCACCATGGTTAATGCTCATTTCTTAAATTTTATCATTTTTTTCTTCTGGAATTTTCAATTCCATGGTTTTCTTCCCATTTTCTCTTTCTCCATTAATGCACAGCTAGCCCAATTTTTATTTCTTCTATTGTTGGTGAATTTCAGGTGGGTTTTTGGTTTAGATTCAGAAATAATTTTTGTAATTTGAATTTGAATTCTCTTGAATCTTTGGCATGGTTAATTTCTCCATGGGCTTAGAATTTGCATCCCTTCACTGCTGACCTTTAATCCAGTTCCAAAATTCTGTCATAACATCTGAAAAAAAACTTGATGTATTAAATGTTGAAAACCAACATAGTTAACTGAGATTAACCTTTTTTATAAAGTTAAATCGTATGGGTTCATGTAGATGGGTAATACTTTTCTGAAAGATTTGCAATGTTTTTGCTGGTCTGGAGGAAACCATGGGGAGAGAGGGAGACGAAGGATGTTTGGTTTGCAGAACTAGGGGTGTTTGGTTGTGTGATTTGAGACTTGAAAATGAACAGGTGTCTTTGATTTATTGGAGTCAGCAAATTTTAGGTACTGAACAGTTAGTACCTAAGTATTACATATACTTGGAGAACTAATAAAATATCTTATTTTGCATGCCCTGACGCTTTGTTATTTGTTAGTTGAGAAAATAAAAAGAAATTGGTAGAAAAGTCAAGGTGCCGCTGTAAGGTTGGTAGACTAAATAGACAATTTAGATTTCTTCTGTTGATCGCCCTCACTTTGTAGTGGCTGTTGGAACGGTGAGTTAATCATTTTCAGTATACATTTGAAACTCCAGCAACCACAAAAACACGTAGTATGCGAATTTTGAAATCACACGTGACCGGTCATTGTCTGGAACACGAATGCCAATATGCCATTTCAATTTGTGGAACATGAGATTTATGAGATTTTCAACTAATAGAATAACATAACAACATTATTTACTTTACATAAACTTTTTTTCAAGGAATAGGAAAATTACTTTGCAAAAATAGTAATTCATGTGATTTTTCTACATGTGAATGGTAATGAACTATTCATGTGGGCCATCTACATATTATATTATAACAGAGTTTCTATATTATTTATATCGAACTTTTAACATCCGTAACTTCTTCGTTATCGTTCCGATTCGCCAACGGCTTTCACCTGCATCCTTGTGGGATTGAGCTCTATTTGAGAACACTAAAGGTTTACAGTTTTTAAATGATTGCTTACGAAAATTCAAACTTTGTAACTAAGTAAATAAAATTCTAAAATTAGCGAAATTTGATTTAAAATAAAAATCTCATAATTACGATTTTTTTTGAGATGTTCTATGTGGCATGACATCTCCTTTAGAGATGTTCTAAATCATAAGAATTAAATGGGTTTTTGAACTTTAATCCTTGAAGAAGATTAAAATTTAATAAAATCTGGTGTTTGATTACATAAGGGGGTAGGGAAATGAGTTAAGCCTCACAATGGGCTAGTGATAATGTGGGATCAAATTCGCCTTTAGCGAGAATTGAACCTAAGACCTCTCACTTATTAGTGAAGAGGAATACCACTAGATCGTAGTACTAAGTGGTGATTACAAATCAATTTAAGACCTTTAATGCATACTTAATTCAAATTTATATTATATTTTTGTTTTAATATTTAACGATTTAATGCCTCCACATTAAACTTTAAATTTATTATTATAGACATTCTAATTCATTAATTTTGTGTAACTTCCATATTGAAGCTCATATCATGGATGGACAAAAACAACAAACCTGGAGATTATTTGCAGCGTCTGCGAGTACAGATGAGAAGAAAGGGCGTGACCAATGGAGAATTCTTGGCAGCAGGATTCAGGGAGCAAACTTGTTATTAGAGAGTTCAAGGATATCTTGGACAAAAGATTTTTCAATGTGCTAGGAACATGCGATAAAACACCACATGTCTCTATACAAGTGGTGAGATTCTTCTATTTAAAAAATAAAATTTCCCATCATTTAAATAATAACGCGTGGTGTACCACTTGTGTGACGGTTACAAAGAAATTTCTATCTTGGACGAGCATGAGAAAGAGGGAGGGAACCTCACGGCAAGCATGACAGACTTTAGGGATTTTGTAACCTTGATGGTCTAATTGATCTAGGCTTCACGGGTTATCCCTTTACGTAGAAAATCAGGAGAGGAGGGATTTATACAACAAAGATTGGACCGGGGATTAGCATCGCTTTACTGGTTCAATTTGGTATGATTTGTATTTTTTATGTTTTAGTTCACTAGGTTTGCTAGATTCAGTATGATCAATTTGGTACGGTTTGTATTTTTTATATTTTAGTTCATTAGGTCCGATAGATTCGGTATGGTCAATTTGGTATAGTTCGTATTTTTTATGTTTTAGTCCATTAGGTCTGGTCAATTTGGTACGGTTTGTATTTTTTATGTTTTAGTTCATTAGGTCCGTTAATTTTTGCATTATTGATTTGTTAGACCTTATACATTAATTATGGTTTACAAAATAGAAAACTTCATTTTAATCCCTAAATAAGATTGTTTTTTCAATAACATTGTACCTAAGATTAAAAATTAAAAATAATCCTCCATATCAGATTATAGAATTCAATGTCACATTCAATATGTATATATATATATATATATTTTTTTTTTTTAATAAATTTTGTTGCATTTTTAGTTTGCCTATTTACCCTTATTACTCTCTTAAAACCAATTAGAGAAACAAATATATAATTAATTTTCCAAGAATGCTTACTTAACTAGATCCATAATTAACATGTTCGTTATAACAATAACATTATGGTCATTACCATAAACCTCCATGTGTTATTCCAATCAAAGAACCCAGATAACTCAGAAACCATGATCAAACAAAAAAAGCTAGGAAATTCAGAAACCAAAAATCTTGTTGTATTCGGAAGAAAAAAAGAAAAAAAAGGCTTTTGGATGCCAAATTGATGGTGAATCCAGAAATAAATGAAAAACAACACAAATAGAGAAAATGGAATGTGAAATCACAACTTAATTGACCGTACTGAATTGATCAGATCTACACTATATAGTACCTAACTGACTTTACTGAATGGATGAGACCTAATTGACAATACCTAAATGAACAATTTTGTATGTAGAACAACAATATAGTGTACCTATAATCTCAATGCATTTTTTTTGATTTTATAGTTTTGGATTCAATAAATTAAAAATGAATCCAAAGATAAATGAAAAGAAAAATTTTGTATGTAGAGAAAATGGATCGTGAAATCACAACCTAATTAACCGTGTCGAATTGATAGGACCTAAACTTTATAACATACCTAATTTATTGAACCTAATCTATCATACCTAGTGAACTTAAACATAAAAAATACAAATCGTACCAAATTGACCGTACCAAATCTATCGAACCTAAACTATATAACGTACTTAATTGACCGTACCGAAACTATCAGACATAAATTAATGCATTATTCACAGAATAGAAAATTTGAATAAATATAAAAAACAAAAACAAAACAATAAACAAAAAGTAGGTAGTTATAGACAATAAAGATGGTATTTTTCAGACAATGAAGATGGAGGTTACTTTTATAAGTGATAATGATGTAACCGTTACATTTTTCAAATTTTGATGGTGGAGGTTACATTGTAGACAGTAAGGATGACATTGTTCTGAATAGTATTAAAACTTGTGGTTTTATTATAAGTGACTTGTCATGGTGTATTAAAATGAAGGATCTTTTTTAGACGTTGAAAACCTTTCATGTCATATTCTAAAAGTCATCTTTGACAAGCCCTTATCTCTAAATGTCCCTATACAAAATACTTTTCAAGTTTTTGTGTTTGAATCCCTTAAAAGGGGTAATATAGGCAAACCAAAAATGCTGTAAATTCATAAAAAAGTAATTGAATCTGACATGCAGTATATAAGCTGACGTGGACACGAGTCAAATGACTATTTTTAGTTTTTCATCTTACATGCGGTACTATTAAAAGCATAATCTTTTTTAGGGATTAAAATGAAGTTTTCCATAAAGTGAATTAGAATAGTAATGGCACATCTTTGGTATTTTTGTAAGGAGCCCCTTTTCTCTTTTATTCACTCCTATTTAATCATGTTCGTTTGTTTTTGTTTGATTTATTCAATTGGATGATCGAAAAATAGAGAGGTGTTGAAAATGTTAAAGGTGTGTGGAAAACCAACTTCCGTTTGTAAGAGCTAGGGTAGCATCAATTGATAAGGTTGTTACATACTCGACTTTTCATTATTGAAAATTTGACACCAATTTATTTAATTTTCACCATTATTTGTTCTCGTCATCAAGTGAAGAAAACAAATGCAAGACAGTAGGTAGGAAAAAAACACACACACAAAAAAAAAAAAAAAAAAAAAAAAAAAAAAGGAATAGCGAGCAGATTCTTGGCCCTTGAAACTGCAAGACCAAACTCCTCAGTCATATCCAACTCATTTGGCAACATGTTATCTGGAAGTTCCCAATCAAAACAATGCACAAGCTGAGCCAACACAAAGTGTACCACAGTAATCCCTAACTGCATTCCAACGCAACGTCTTCTGCCAGAGCCAAACGGTAGAATCTGAAAGTGGTGTCCTCTAACATCAACATTGCTATCCTCAAACCTCTCTGGTACGAACTTCTCGGCATCTTCCCAAACACTTGGGTCTCTCCCGATTGCCCACACGTTTACGATAACGCGTGACTTTTTGGGTATGTGGTAGCCATCGACAGTGCAATCTTCGATGGCTGCATGAGGAAGCAACAATGGTAACACAGGATGTAGCCTCATGGTTTCCTTCACTACCATATCCAAATACTCCAATTTCTCCGTGTCTGATTCCTCCACCATTCTATTCAGACCTACAACATTTTTTATCTCCTTTTGGACTTTCTTCATAACCTGTGGATGCCTCATGAGTTCCGAGAGCGCCCACAGGACAGTTGTTGATGATGTGTCCGCTGAGGCCACTAACATGTCCTGCCAATAAATTTTCCATTGCTAGATGAAGTATATATAGTCGGGTGACATGTGTACATAGATGACAATTTAATGTACATGATAAATCATAAATTTGTATCATCAATAATCAATCTTGTATATTCAAACAAATGTTGACCTTATGGTTCAAAAGCACACAATCTAAGACCACGTCATGCTAAATTGTCTAACAAGAAACAATTTCGTTTTAATTTGAAGTAAAGCAAGATTAAAAAGACAAATATGTAAAATGATGATACGTAAACTTACCGACATCATGGCTTTGATATTCAAGCGTTCGATTCGGTAGTCCGATTCTTCAGACCCCATGTAGGCCAGCATGGCATCAATAAAGTCCTTCGTTCTTTCTGCATCCTTGGATTGAAGATGCTCGTCAATAATCTTCTCGTAAAAATCATCAAACTCCTTGTTAACAGCCTTCATTTTTTTAGTGAGCCCTTGCAGGTCAAGCGGTGCAATACAAGGAAAGAAATCTCCTAAGTTAGGTGCTCCTGCTAGTTTCAAACCCTCTTTCATCACAGACACGATACCCCTCCCGCCAAACTCCTCGTCCTTGTACTTCTTCCCAAACACCATCCGGCAGGTCATGTCAATCCCGAGCGACATAACCTTGTCAGTGAGATTGGCAATGCGTCGATTATTGGCGTCCTCTTGAACAGATTTTATCAAGAGAGCAACCTCTTCTCTCCTCATGGACTTGAAAGAGTTGATCTTTTGGTTGCTAAGTAATTCGAGCATGCAAAGCTTTCGCATGTTCGTCCAATACGAGCCATACTCAGCAAAGCTTAAGCTTTTTTGCCCAAAGATGAGGTGCTTTGCACCTTCATTAGGTGGTCTATTTGCGAAATTAAGGTCGTGTGTTTTGAGGAACAGCTCGGCCGCTCGTGCGGAAGAGACGACGACAGTATGCTGGAGGCCTAACCTCAAGTACATGATGTCACCGTATTTCTGGGCTAGTTGACGAAGATCCATGGTAGGGAACTTCCCTAACAAATGGAGGCTGCCAAAAATAGGAAACCCTGTCGGACCAGGAGGTAACATCTTGTTCTTGGTTTTTGATATGCATGCTTGCACGATGCGAACAAGGGCAAGCACCCCAATTGTTGCCCAAATCCAAAGTGCCATATTGATATTGCGCTCTTTGGGAGTTCTCAAATGGTTGAACTAAGCTAGCTAGCAAAGTTTTTCTAAGAGAGGTTTCCAGCTATTTCACTTTGAGTATTATGAATGCTAGCTGATGCTTCGTTTTATAGATCTATAAAACTTGAAAGGTCAAAGCTAGTTTCAAACATAATAATTGTAGATTAGAAAGTCAATTTTTTTGCAGTGGATAATGTTAAGGAGATCAATTTTTTAAATCAAATTTTGTAAACCAAATTTTTAAGCTAAATCTTCACGACTCTATGCCATTTTGGAAAGATTTTTTAATGTGTTCAGAATATGAGATAATACACAATGTATCTCTATACAAATGATGAGATTATTGTGTTAAAAAATTAAATTTCTTACTAAAAATAGGAAACCCTCTCGGACCAGGAGGTAACATCTTGTTCTTGTTCTCGCCTTTTGGTATGCCTGCTTGCACGATGCGCTCTTTGGGAGTTCTCAATTTGTTTCTTTGAGTATTATGAGCTATAATAGTGGAAAGATCAACCAGCTAGTTTCAAACATATTAATTGTGGATGAGACAATCCCGAAAATTTTCATTTGGAAAGGTCAGCATCATATTAATTGTGGATGAGACAATCCCGTAAATTTTCATTTGGAAAGGTCAGCCAGCTAGTTTCAATCATATTAATTGTGGATGAGACAATCCCGTAAATTTTCATTTGGAAAGGTCAGCCAGCTAGTTTCAAACATATTAATTGTTGATGAGACAATCCTGTATATTTTTTTAATGAATAATATTAGGGAAATTAAATTTTTACATTAATTTTGTAAACCAAACGATGTAATTATTGATGATTAGATTATTAATTAAGTGTCAATTAACGTGTTTATTTCTTATTAGTGACACGTAATTTGGTTTGCAAATTTGGCAAGGTTATAAGGATACTAGACGCTAGTTGGGCGACAAGCTGGGCCTAGCTGCTAGGTGGGACTTAGGCAGGCCAAGACGAATTTAAGTAAATTTATTATATGTTAAATAAATGCTTATTTATACTTAAAAAACAAACATAATTATATTGAGATGCATTAATTACAAAATAAAATGACAAATAAATTATAAAGTATTAGAATATATTGAAAACATGGAGAACAAATATATAATGATTGTTCATCCAAGTATTCTACAAGTCTCTTACATTTTATTGAAAAAATAAAAAGAAAAATAAATG